CTGAAGATCAATTCTAACCAGTATCTTTACAGGTCAGTGCTGTACGTCGTTTCCAGCAATTTCAATCATACCTAACAACAATTATATATATATAGAGAGAGGTTTTGGATCTTCTTACAACAGAAAGGTAGCTTCTAAATGCATGAATGTACATGCAGTCGCGTAGCCTAGTGGTTAAAGCGTTCGCTCGTCACGCCGAAGACCCGGGTTCCATTCCCGACATGGGAACAATGTGTGAAGCCGATTTCAGGTGTCCCCCGTCGTGATAGTGCTGGAATATTGCTAAAAGCGGCGTAAAACCATACTCACTCACTCACTATACGACCGCCATACTGCTGAAATGGAGTTAAGCCCCAACCTCATTCAGATAAGGTCGGTCCGACGGTCAAACTGACCATACGTTAAGGTCAGTTGACACTAGCCAGTGTGGCCATACCTTGTAGAGTACACCAATAAGGCGGCAATAAATAGAATATGTGTCGCGCAGGCCGACGTACTATTAGACCATGTGACATGGACTCTTGGAGCATGTGAGCAGGGCGTGTTTTGTCATGCTAATTAGGCATGATCTGGCGGTGTCACTTTGTATGTTTGACGAAAACTGTCGATAGCAAATGACATTGTCAGTCACAATGTAACTTCCAACTGGGTAATCGATTTGGTTTGTTTGGTTATATCATGGTACGTGTTGTGCTCTATAGAAATGATTTCACTTAATAGTACATGGCGGTGTTTCGTAATCATCTTATTTAAATGTATTGGGCGGTATTCTATTTCTTTACATATCTTATATAACTATTAATATAGTTGATCAACATTGTCTATCTCGATAAATGGCTCTTTTGGTTGGTACGTCGACAAATGTGGGGCACCAGTGTCCAAACATTTCATTTTTTAACTGAACATTTATAATACAAGCTGCCTTTGAAAGAAAATAACCCACCACATACATATGTCGTAGCTTGTCTTTGGGACCGTTTTGCCTTGTGTGGGCGTGGTCCCGTTTGCTACGTCACAATGTCCAAGATAGTGGGGGATTTAACTTGGTATAGCTGATTACTCGGCTATCACCTTAAAACAGAGAGAAGGCTTCTGAGTCCATTTACGTCTTTATTCGTGGCAGAGTGAAGTATCTGCCACTGGACTCCGTATATATAGGGACTCAGGCCTTCTATAGAACGCGTTAGTTACCAATATTGAAAATGATCTAAATCTGCCACATGTGTGGTATATTAATTACAATTATCGACAGTTACGGAGCGCACTGACCACGTAATATCCTTTATTATATTCCACCTATCTGATAGTAAAATGATGGTGCGTTCGGCCATACACAGCATGGGGCATAACCCTAGCGTGGCCGTCTGGCTGAGTTAGATAATCCAGAGTCACTGGTTTGTGACGGTCAGTTGCGTGCACGGCAACTGACTAACATTATCTTCAGAAATATATTAGGTTTGGCTAGTTGTAAGATAAAATATTGAGAAAATACGAAACGTATTATTGAAATATGACCACTATAATTATGGGTTTATTATAGTGATTTTAGAACTATGACACATACAACGGTTCCATGTATTCACTGTTAGCATGACAGCTCGTGGCTCAAGCATCCAGAGAAATGTCAGCCCAAGGACCAGACTGACCGCTGGTCATCCTAACAGTCCAAGGATCGAGATTGGTGCTTTGATACAATGATTCAGACTGTTGTATGTGGCCATATAATAAACGCAACCAGACAGTTTCCCGTACATTGAATTTTATCTTGAATCTGATGTAACACGTAATTGAATCCTATCTGACCATGCCTGAAACCTATCCGACAGTATATTGAATCCTATCTGCTCAAAACTTTGATCCCATCCGACAGTATCTTGAATCCTGTCCGAACCGTGAAGATCCGGGGTGGAATAGGTCTTCAGCCACCCATGCTTGCTGTAAAAGGCGACCATGCTTGTCGTAAGTGGCGACTAACGGGATCGTGTTGTCAGATTCGCTGACTTGGTTGATACATGTCATCGTATCCCAATTGCGTGGATCGATGCTCATGATATTAATCACTGGATTGTCTGGTCCAAACTCGATTATTTACAGACCGCCGTCATATAGCTAGAATATTGCTGAGCGTGGCGTTAAAAAAAACAAAAACAAACAAACCAAACAAGCAAACTTGAATCCTGTCCGATAGTACCTCGAATTCTATCTGTTACTTTGCATCTCTTCAAACAGTGCCTTGAATCTTGCATCGTATTTGACAGAACATTGAGTCCAATATGACGATTGCCTTGAATCCTATTTTCCCAGCACCTTGAATCCTACCCAACAGTACATTAGATACTATTTGGCCAGAGCCCAGAATCTTCAGAAGAAGCATTCAACGGGCCCTTGTTGTGTTAGTGACATTTCTTATCGGTGTAGTAATATACTTGTTGACTTGCCATCTTATGTGGGACCCCCTTGGCTGGGTTATATCCAAAACCATTAATCATTCCAAGCAGGTACATGTGGTTACGTATTGTGGCTAGTGGCTAGTGGCTGACCAGTGGGGGTAGCCTATGTGTCAGTAGAGTATTTAAGGAATTGTAACAATGTACGGTTGTAAATAGTCGATACTATACTAGGCTGATCTACGAGGCACTATCAATGTAATAAATTATATACAGGACGGAAGTAGAGTCACTGACCGCTGTTCCTAAAATGCGAGTTACACCTTTCGATGTTATGTTATGGTTAATTTAAACTGTGAGATCCCGTTTATCGTCCTGTTAAGGGATGTTATAGTCTTTTAATGCTTTGAAAACAAAATGGTCCTCAGGTGGTCCAGACTCGATTATTTACAGACCGCCGTCATATAGCCGGAGTGTTGCTGAGTGGGGCGTTAAACAACAAACAAACAAACAAATACAACCTGCTGGATTGTCATAAAAATAAAGTGTTGTTGGAGAAAATTTCCAGTTTGAATTAATATAGTCGTACCTAAAGGTAATCGACCGGAATGTGAGGTGTCCGGACTACCGTTGTCCGGGGTATACAGGTAACATTGTTTATTGCAAGTATCTGCCTGTGTGGATATGAGCGAGGTAGGTATACGGTGCGGGGAAGTGGAAATAAAATGTATACGCTCTGTTGTTTCATTGAAACAAATGAACTGAATCCTATTCAGGAAAATGCATTTTGTCATCTTAATGGCATTGAACAAACACTTCGCAGAACATCAGCAACTCAGGACGTCAGATCGGGGTAAATGAATATGACTCTGTTTGTTACACTTGAACCTGCAGGTAGACGACAGTCTGGAAGTGTTTTGTTGTTTGATAAAGAGTCTATTTGAGGCACAATGCAGATACATACATACTTCACCCAAGACTCAAGGAGCTGTATGAGTGTTGGTTAATATGAAGTGACTCACAGCGGTGAGTTATCTCCCTTTACTAGATCGCATCGTGAACGGTCGTAACAGTTTGATAGTGTCATGTGTGTGGCATGGTGTGTGTTTCCCCACAACACTGGGTCGATTGGTGCATGATATGTGTCCCCGTTGATAAAAATACTTTGTTAATTAGTGGGAACACGTCGATTTATTTCTACAAAGAAATGCAAAGTTTATATTTTATTGCAAACTTTGACACGATAACGGGAGAATATACCAACACGCTATTTCACCAATATGCCCTTACACTGATATTCACATCCAACAACACCTTTATTTACGCACTTCTCCTAAATACACATCTCCATCAATACACATCTCCATCAATACACATCTCCATCAATACACATCTCCACCAATACACATATCCATCAATACAAATCTCCATCAATACACATCTCCATCAATACACATCTCCACCAATACACATATCCATCAATACACATATCCACCAATACACATCTCAATCAATACGCATCTCCATCAATACACATCTCCATCAATACACATCTCCATCAATACACATCTCCATCAATTCACATCTCCACCAATACACATATCCATCAATACAAATGTCCATCAATACACATCTCCATCAATACACATCTCCATCAATACACATCTCCACCAATACACATATCCATCAATACACATATCCACCAATACACATCTCAATCAATACGCATCTCCATCAATACACATCTCCATCAATACACATCTCCATCAATACACATATCCATCAATACACATACCCACCAATACACATCTCCATCAATACACATCTCCCTCAATACCCATCTCCACCAATACACATCTCCATCAATACACATCTCCATCAATACACATCTCCACCAATACACATCTCAACCAATACTGATCTCCATCAATACACATCTCCATCAATACACATCTCCCTCAATACCCATCTCCACCAATACACATCTCCATCAATACACATCTCCATCAATACACATCTCCATCAATACACATCTCCACCAATACACATCTCCATCAATACACATACCCACCAAAACACATATCCATCAATACACATACCCACCAATACACATCTCCATCAATACACATCTCCTTCAATACACATCTCAACCAATACTCACATCCATTTATATACACATCCATACACAAAGCAATACTCAATACCCCCCCCCCCCCCCCCCCCCCGATCCGCGCCATTACACCTCGTTGTCACGCAGACAGCAAATAACCCAGTCATTAGTGTACAATACACAAACAACCGATACACTAATATTTCAATGCAACAAGCAACTATTCCTACAATACACATTTCAATCGATACGCAAACAAAACGTTCACACATTCTATACACTGATCCACCAATACACTACAATCCAATAAACTTAATAACCTAAAACATTTATATACTGAGTTACATTTAGACCAATCCATAAAAGCTTTAAATACAGATAGTTCTTTCACGGAGGTAAGAACGTACATCTACAAACAAATTAAGAGGAAGAATAAATTGGTGTGTTTTAGTACTTAACTATTACATTAGACATGAAGTATATTCAAACATGTCTGGTTCCAGGTGATTGGCGGACTACGTTACCCTTCCACACGTGAAGCCTGCTGACAGGGCCACCAGAACAAGGTGAATACTTGGTGGCTGCACTATATTGCAGTGAGTGAGTGAGTGAGTTGGGTTTAACGCCGCTTTTAACAGTATTCCAGTTATATCGCGGCGTGTCAGCTTAATGTGGGAGGAAAGCCCGAAGTGATGCAGGTCTCAGACGTTTACCACTTCGATGAAACCGACGAGCACGGGTATGGTGCTGACAAACCTAGAAACATAATCGGGGCGAACCGGGATTCGAACCTACAATCATAGGTTTCTGGCTTGTCCAAGGGTTTCCCTTCACCACCGACCCTACATGTTGGAAATGAACTGTATTCTAAATTTCTAAACTGTTTGCTCAACTGTTTCTGTTGCGCTTTTTTAGAACTATTTTCCATTCAGTGTGACTTTATTTTTTTAGTACGGGCCTCATAAACATAGTTTCTACTTTAGACATTAGACTCGGGCATATAAATATAACAATAAACATCTGCCAACCAATCGTATTTATAAAATGATATAAAAACATATTTTTCAGGTGATTCTATAATATTATTAAATCCATAATCGAGTAGGTTATTTCACAAAAGCATCTACCTGTTTCTATATCCGCCACATGCGAATGTCCTATCTTCTTTCTCTATTGGTTTACCAGTCTCTATGCTGTCCCCTGCCGTAAACATGTACTAGCACTAGTTCATCCTTATTTTATCGACAAACTTTCCAGTTTTTATTTTCAAATAAAAAGATGTCATATTACGAATACCATATTGAATAAAGATAATAATTAGTCAAATAATACCGACAAATTCATTTATAAACAATACACATTCAGTCAAGTTGTGGTGAGATTTTCCCAACGATAATGTAATAACTACTTTGAAGCAACTGATAGAAGCGCCGTGTTCAATGTTCCCACTGAGTGCAGACCGTCTCTAATCAATGTCTAAACTATGGCGAATGCAACACAAGAGCTACCGCTACCACGGGTTATATTACCAGTGCTGCTAAGACTTTAGAACTGAGTGGTGTTGCCTCATATTGACCAACAAATCAATTATGTCTTTCAGGGAACTTGCGTGCAGGACTGTTACGTCAAATGGAATTATGCCCAGACCTTGAAGTAACGCTGCGTTCCACCCGCAATGGAAACGTGGTAGTGTGCCGGCTCAATTGAACACGCTCCATATACCTCAATACAGCTGATCAGCCTATCATATAGCCCTGCCGGGGCACAATGCGCATGCGCACCATGCGAGCAGACGACAGCGATCATTTGACGAGTGACAGTGTAGAAGCGAGCACCTCGCGACGAGGAAGTGTAGCAAGCTCGCGTTTACCGGGTGGATTGTCGACCGGTGTTAATCCTAAGTCTAAACGGAGAGGGAGCGCAGTTACCTTCGACCTCCCAGATGATTCGGATGAAGAGGAGAGGACATTTAGAAGGAGTTGTGGTTATCGCAGGATGAGCGCACCCGAACTCCCGCCAATCGTGGACCGGTCGGATTCAAGAGGTAACCGGACATCCTCAGGTTCCATTACTGAACGGTCCAACTTCTATCAGAGATTCAAAAACGGTCGTTTGCCTCGGAACCACAGTGACAGTTCCATTAAAGGTATACTAACACGTTCCCCGAACAGCCAGTCCTCCTCGTCGGTGAATTCCATCCCGTCAGGTCAGCCTGGTTATCTTTCGTCCAAGACACGGTCGTGGTGTGACACTGATAAAAGTGCTGGTTCGACCACCAAGCTAGGGACGCTGTTCGAAAGAAAGCCAGTAAGTCCTACCAGAGAGAGTGGATCGGGATACAGGTCAACTTCCACGGACAGAGGCCTTTCCAAAGGCCATTACAGATTGGAGGGTGAATTGAACAATAATGATGAGGAGATATTTCCCATAGAAAGGTACGAAATTGATAACAAACGAGCCGTCCTGAGAAGAAATTATTCTGAAAATGAACTAACAGCTAATAACAAGAGAAGGAACTCGCAGCTATCCAAGAACGCCTTGTCAGTGGGGAAAATGGACAACCTTACCAAATCCACACGTAAAAATGGATTTAATACAAACACTTTAAAAAGATTCAATTCCACCCCGGCTATCAACAAAACCTACACGTCTCAAGCATACCCAGATCGGGTAACCGAGGAGTTGAAGAATAGACAATTGCAAAATGGTGAGGATTCTGAAAATGAGACAGAGAGGTTGGAGAGGATATTTGAATGGCTGAGGGGGGTTCAGTTTGATGCTGAGGAACCCCCCGAGCAGGTGATAGACTACTCAGATGACCCTCCGCAAACCGACACAGCTGTACATATCGTGTATAGCGAAGACTGACTAGTTTTGTCCATAGTGTTTGTGTTTTTGTATCTATGTTGTGCCCAGATGCTTCTGGAGGATGACCTGTCCGAGCAATGCATGATGGGATTGAGTCTCAAGGACTGTCTTCATCTGAAAATGTCTTTCAGGTTCCGGTATAGTTGTTACGAGTTAAACATTTTTACCCAGTGTCAGTGTAGTAACTTTAGTATTCCTTTAGGAATAGGCGTTAAGAACACCACCCAAGAGATATACTGAAATGGTGTAGTTCGTGCACATAATGTTATCCGTAATGGATTCCAGTGTCTGGAATTTCGAATTTGATTTTCGAAGGAGCTATCAATGATTAATGTTTTCCCGTGTGTTGATATATATATACATATTTTGACAATATTGTAAAACGATTCAATATTTCCAAGAATAATTAACAAAACAGTATTTACTTCAGCATTTCTTATGTAGCCGTTACACATATCTGTGATACGTTCATCCTCGGTGTGCAAGGACCAAATCTGCACACATTGCAGGAGAATACTTGATAACGTGTGTCTGACATAGTGAACTGGACAACAGGGTTGATCGAGGCGAGTGACTGAACATTTCCAGGTTGGATATCGTCCTACATCTATCTTGTGACTTCACTATCATGTTCTGAGATATGAAACTTTTCTGCCAAGTGTCTTGGATCTTGTGTGTGCATACTGTCTTTCCACCCCGTGATTCAAGCAAAGCCAGCCAGCCAAAGCTATATGTTACATAAACTTACAGTGACTTACAACAAGAAGAATTCTCTTTCACCTATGCGACATCTCACGTCCTCTTTAAAGATGGATTATTCATACAAGCGTTACCTTGAACATTCCTTGGATGGTCAGTCGTCTCAGCTCCATGGAGAGGTAAACAAAATATATCAACACCCTACTCCCTGCCCCTCTTACTCTCTTCTCGAAATCCCCTTAAATACCAGCACAAAGAGCTGAAGTAGCTGGCAATCACGCACTCGAGCAAGTCATAGTTTGTATGAAAGTCATATCTAATGGCTAGATCTGATTTCCTCGTACAAGGCTTTGCCATCCAAGTATATCACAAAAAGACACGGGGAAAGAGAGCCCCTTTGACCGACCCCACTTTCTACCGGCTTCTTAAATCATTCGATCTTCTATATCCATTTTTAATATTTGTGTAGTATGTTTACCAAGGGCAACAAATATAAACCTCACACTAACAGTACTGATTTCCCCATTTGAGGGGTTTATTTTGATCTTAACCAATGTTTTTAACGACATAAATTTGAATAATCATCTAGGAATAATCATGAAAAAAAGTGTCTGTAAACTTTATCATATTTAATTTCAAATATCGGTGAATTTGAGGTATTGTGTTTAATTACGGTAGTATTTTATTTGTAAATGTATTGTCTGTCGGTGGTTAACGATGGTTTCAAACTAGTCAAGATAACGCATGTTTAACTATTGTATGAAAATGTTTATGGTACAATCTTTTATCGTGGAATATTAGACACCTCTGGTTTACAAATACATTTTATTACACAGCCACACAAACTTACGTCATGCAGAATCGATATACTAGCTAGTGTGTGTCTTGTTAGCGCAGTGACAGGAAATATACATGTACATAAATATAAACATCGTAACAATGAAAGGTAAACACTGCTTAGGCGGGGAGTATGTGTATAACAGGCGGGAGTACACTGGCGGTATTCATGGCTGAACTATTGGAATATTTATGAGCACAAAAGACACACATTTTAATAAGCTAGGGTTATATTTGAACATATTTATTTGATATCGTTACGGAGAATGTAACGAATGGGATCTTCATTTGTTGGAATGTCAATGAACCTATGGTTTCTGTTTTGGTCACATATAAATACGATATATTCATTTACATGACAGGATTGTTGAACTGAGAGATTATTATGTTTGACTTGATAGGATCATATTTCTATAATGACTTAGGTGAAGGAAGAACAAAGTTACTTGCATGTCATATTGCATGTCAAATATAAATGTATTTATATAGAAATTGGGAAACTTATCGAACATTCATCTCGAACACCCTTTGTTGAAACATCAACAGATTGAGAAATGTTCCAAATTCATACCTAAATACATATTTCAAGGAACATTTTTAGGAATATATTTCATTTTTGTTCACATGACGAAAACTCAGCATATCATAATGGAAATCCCCTGGCTTAATGTAATAATATTTCCCAAGACCCAGATAATCACCATGTTAAGGTCCTAACACACCCAGTTCACTGCCCATATCGAGCATGAGCGTCATAAGACCTTGCTCCAACTGTAACACGCTTCCAGCGAATGCAAGGTTAGTGATACTTAATAGGAATAAAGAAATTGTGACCCACCTCACCCCCAGGTACTAGTATATGGTACAATTGAAAACTGATACACTGTTAGTGTTTAGATACGCCATGGTTGAATGGCGTTCATGTTGAGCCTCATTAGAAGGTTGTCAAGCTGATTTGAATGATTGACAACCATAAAATATGACGTATTATTCAAATATTTGAAAATAATTATGTTTTAATAAACCTCTCAAGTAATTATTTCCAAATATTTGAATTATTCGTTCATATTTTAATGTCTTTCCCCGTATTTCACACGATTGATTAGTTTCTTGGAAAAGAACCAAGTTCCATTCTGTAAAACATTTGATTTTCAACTTTGTACACCACTATCCAAAATGGCAAACTTAAGAAAAAACGTCATTCATGGATCCATGGAGCATTTGTTACAAAACGTGGTGACCACAGATACAGCTACGTATCTATCTTCAGTGGTTAAAAAATGAAAGCAAATGTCATCTGAAGTCTTCTGTGAAAACAGTATGTGAAATGACGGACTTCCTCCTTGATAACATCCATGTAAAATTTGAGGGTAAGACATTTAGGCTAGAAGTAGGCATCCCCATGGGCACCAATTGTGCTCCCCTTCTTGTGGATCTGTTTCTTTATGCAAATGACACCGGAATTTCTCCACAAGACTGTATGACAAGAGTGAGGACTTCAAGTTTCCAATAGTCAACTTTCCCTTGTGTCGAGCAATATTCCAGCAGCTCCAGCTTTTGGTGTTTACACTTTAAAACTCTTGACATATTCAATCGAGCATGCTCTTTCCACATGAATCTTGTTCAGAAGTTGTTTGATCAAGGTTACAACATTCAAGGCCTCGGTAAAGCTTTCAAAACGTTTTATGGTAGACATGTAGAAGACATTTCTGACAAAAATGAATTCCCTATTTTGACTTTTTCCGTGTTATTTCTGGTAAACAATGGACATGCCTTTGCATGTGTTTGTAACGGGTGTCACCGGTGGGGCAGGACGCGAACACCTGGTGTCATCATTGTTTGATAGTGATTCACAAACACAAGCAATATGATCATGATATGGTCGTAGTCGCACAATCGACTCTCACGATTTCTTATGGACATGAGGGGGCACGGGTAGCCCAGTCGTCTAAGGCGCCGCGATTCGCTGTGCAGAGTTACGTCCCTTGGGCACGCCAGAAACCTATGATTGTTGGTTCGAATCCCGGTTCGCCCCGATTATGTTTCTAGGTTTGTCAGCACCATACCCGTGCTCGTAGGGTTTCACCGAAGTGGTAAACGTCTGAGACCTGCATCACTTCGGGCTTTCCTCCCACATTAAGCTGACACGCCGCGATATAACTGGAATACTGTTAAAAGCGGCGTTAAACCCAACTCACTCACTCACTCACTCACTCTTATGGACATGGAAAGGGTTGTTTCGCTTTTATTCATTACACCCCCACACACACACACACAGCCTGACCCCCGACCCCAGACGTGAGCACGTCTTCATGCCAACTGACGTTGCCGGTATCTATGTCTTTCCCGGTATTTCACACAATCGTTGGCTGTTTGACAACTCACTGCACGGGGATCACGTGCAACCGGCATGTTTGTCTACTGTCTGTTGTGAGGTGGTTATGACACACCAATGTAACTGAGCAGATTATAAGATTAGCTATAATCACGTCTGCTTGTGCCTATTTCAAGTCAAGCAGCACATTCTATTCAACCATTACGTAAGCCATTCGATTAGGAATTTCATTCACATCTTACGTTTTGTCGTTAGTCGTGTCAGCAACGTGATAAATGTTGTTTTAAATGTATTTGAACTTACATTGTTATTCAATATTTCCCAAAAGAAGTTGCCCAGGAGAACGGTAGGGAAAGTATGTGTTATTCAATTAATCATTTTCGACGTTACTTGTCAATTGGTATGCGTGGTGGATTGCAATCTCGGGAAGGTTTATGACGTCAACAGCACTGTAGCGTAATAAATGGAGTTAAAAACAATCGCAGTGAAATGGAAAGCTGCAGTCTTAAAATAATTCTCTATGACTACTGTACATATCTATGTATAACCTCAGACATATTCAACAAAAGTATTTGGTGCAATTGATGCTGTCGTTGGCGTCATACTAGCCTCCAGAACATCAGAAACTATTGGTTATGTGTGTGAACATGGCGAACTACGTATATCGCATGCAGGTAGACTATTAAAGTTTTTCAACTTTTTGAGTATATGTGCTGGAAACAAATTCTTGGATGAACGGGTTCGAATTATTGATGACCTCTTTGAAACTTCACTTGACACTTATGGTATCCCCATTGAGTTCTTGATCAGACCAAAGACGCACATCCTGACCTAACGACATCGTTCTTTCTATATCCTAACATACTTTGGATAACACTCTAAGTCTCCATTCATCTGTGAGTCTGTAGACAGACGGATGTGTGTCCTCAATTCCATCCCGTTCCAGACCCGATAATATCTGAATTATAGACTGTATTCATTAAATTTTAATAAACGCTTTCTGAAAAATTCTTTTTTAAAAATTCCGTAACTATTGCTTTCTGGAGTTGTCCGTGAAGATCTAGGTTTATTCCAACCCCAACCCCAACCCCAACCCCAACCCTCTATCTACCCGGCCTAGGTCAGGTTGTACCTCGGGTATCAGCTGCTCAAGGTCTGTGAGGCACTAGGCCGTGGTGTAATCGATGCCGGCTCGCCTTGTGTCCCAGTGCTGGTCGGTCGGTCGTTAGCTACCGTCGAGAGCAGCTGTGGCTATGACGTTCAGCTACCGGATTAATTGTGTCAGGCAAACTAAGAAAGCTGATTTCTTTATGTCAAACCGCACTGGAGACGTTATCAGGCGTTTGAGGCATGATGGAAAAGTACAACTTGCCATTGATTTCATAAAATTCCATTGTCTCCATTTTGCTGCCATATTTTGGGAAATTAATAAGTTACTGTACTTTTAACAACGTAAACTAATTAAAATGTATAACATTTCAAATTAGACACATTAAGACATATAAACTACTCAAAAGAAGTTATGGATGACCTGATTCTTTCATATTACTTAAGTTGATGTCATGGAATGACAGATTAACTATAGTCATATGAAAGAATCGGGTCGCCCTAATTTCTTTTGAGCTGTATAGTTTTCAATTTCGAAGGAAATTTCAATTTAAAGGGTTTGCTCATAAACACAATTTGCTAATTTCCATTGTCCACAATATTAATTACCACAATTGTAGGATACGAACAGAATCCGACAAAAAGTATCCGAAACAGCCTAAAACTCATTCAGATATAAACATTTTCTCATTGGTCGTGGGTGGACACAAGGATGTGAGTCCTCAATTCCCCATCCCGTTCAAGACAAAAAGTAACCGAAACAGCCTAAAAACTCTTTCAGATATAAACATGTTCCCTTTGATCGTAGGATCGCTCTATGATGTCGTAAAAGTGACAGACTGTTGTCATGATATGAAAATGTCACCATGACATCAGATACCATGCCAGTTTCACCCTTCCTTAATCCCGCTTTCATCTCCCCCGATCTAGCACTGCTTAAACCAATATTTGTTTCTTACGAAGTCTACCTTACAAGTCCCTTTGTACTGATGTGATTTACTGCCTATCTTTCACCAAGAGCACGTTACCACCATTCAAGAGCAAACAGTGTTAGACGGCTGGCGCGATATGACCTTTCATCAAATTATTGCAGCAAGTATTTGGTATTTTATGGTATTTGACATAGACACATTTGAAGAAGATGTTTGACAGTTTCAAGACCGTCTGTCTTTTAAAGCGTTCTCCAGTAACAATAAAGTGGCCAGTGACTTGGTTGGTCATCCACCTGCAGAGGGTTGCTATATACAACAGTACACCGTTATTCTGGGAGCATCTTTAATCCGGAACGCCGTTAATCCAGTCGAATCCACCCCAAGTGAAAAAAACAAAAACGAATCATTGCTAATGAGTAACCTCCTTTGCAAGTCTGTTCGGATTACGAGGTGTCTTGATTAACTAGGCTTCTTTGTATATTTCGAAGAGAATATGAACAGATTTTTATTAAATTATTTATGATTATTAAATTTTATTATTATTTCATAGAAATCTTACCACTGGATCCTCTGTGGTAGGCAATAAACAGTATTACATTTCTAATACTCGAAAACAGCATTTAGGATATAAAATTACTTCTGTATACATATTCATGCCCCGGGCGTAACGTTCCATGTTAGCGGCCGGTTGTGCATAAGTAGTAATGTCCCTTCGTTAACAATGCCATATAACAATAGGCTTAATACCAAATCAAACTGGAATGTCCTGCAGGTCACTGAAACATTAGTTATACGTGTTGCCCTTAATTTATATATATATAATACTCATTTGGAGTAGAGACCGCTGGTGATGCCCCACTATCCCCGTGGCAGCATTGGCAACATGATAATGCCAATAGATGCTGATGGAAGTAAGTAAGTGAACCTATTTTAAACCGATTTGTTGTACCCTTAGGAGCCCTGAAGATGATTATCGTTCTCTTTCCACTACACTGACACCGAACTCTGACATTGAACCGTGTCACTTCACACAGTGTCATATTACACAAAGTCATTTGACACTGTCACTTCACACAATGTCACTCCACACAATGTCATATTACACAAAGTCATTTGACACTGTCACTTCACACAATGTCACTCCACACAATGTCATATTACACAAAGTCATTTGACACTGTCACTTCACACAATGTCACTCCACACAATGTCATATTACACAAAGTCATTTGACACTGTCACTTCACACAATGTCACTCCACACAATGTCATATTACACAAAGTCATTTGACACTGTCACTTCACACAATGTCATATTACACTGTGTAATTTAACACTGTCACTTCACAGTGTCATTCCACACAATGTCATATTACACTGTGTCATTTAACACTGTCACTTCACACAGTGTCATTCCACACAATGTCATATTACACAGTGTCAGTTAACACTGTCACTTCACATAGTGTCATTTAACACATTGTCTATCCACGCAATATCATATTACACAGTGTCAGTTAACACTGTCACTTCACACAATGTCATTTTACACAGTGTCATCTAACACATTGTCATTTTATACGGTGTCATTTAAAACATTGTCACTCCACGCAATGTCATATTACACTGTGTCATTTAACACGGCGTTTTATTCAGTAAAATCTTCTATCTTACATGTTGCCTTACTTTAATCCATCAGTACCATATGTGATAATTAGTTAGGAACATTGTGACTAAGAGAGCGTACATAGAAAGAAAGATTGCGTCTCTTTCGTTGTATAATGATGATAATTATGACAGTGTATTTGTTGTAGTAGTCTGACTTTAATCAAATGCATCCTTCAACCATTTGTCTTTCACTATTAGAAGCAATACTTCCCTATGTGATTCTTAAAGGGGCAATAGTCATTGCTCGTACCATGCTTATTTACTGTTATATCTAAAAATCGACATTGTCTCTTTAAGGAATATTTCAAGTTTCGCTGATGCTGATTCTAAAATAGTCTCCTTTGTCTCGGAACTGTAATTTCCTCAAATATGTGTTTATTAAAAAAATGTTTTTATCCTGAAAAATTGTTTGTCAAGAATTGTATTTCACTGGAATTTTATTTTCTCTCGAATTGCGATTATCCTAACGTTGATTACCTCGAAATTGAGTTTGTTTCTGAAAGTATGTATCTCACCATTGAATCTGTGTACATTCATTTCAACATATAGCTACGTTGTATAGCGTACACTCGGTTATCCCGAAGTTTGTCATTGTCCTTCAACTTCGTTAAAAAAGGTGTCAGTTCTTTGTGTGGTCACTGAAGTATAAAAATCGTTATTTATTCATTATATATTTACATGTAGCTGGTCCGTGCGCACACGCTTTCCACAATGAGCGCCTGGTGTGCGTGGTTTCATATCACCTGAGACTTTTTGAAATATTTATTATCATAATTTATTGTCATAAGACTTCGTAACCTTTAACAGGAAAGACTGGTGAATTTCTTTTGAATTTGAAACTAGTTTAAATTTCCAATTACATTGAAACTAGTTGCATATTCTGCGAGACGATTGTCTAATGAAGTTACGGATTGTTAATTGTTTTATTTGTTTTGTTGTTGTTTTTGGGGGCGGGGTCAGCAAAACTGAATAAATTCTACTC